GAATGAGTTAAAACTAGAACTCCCAGAAACTACTCAAACTCCCAGAGAAGAGTTCACTGGTCCATGTTTCAAATATTATCAATTTTAAAATTCAGGGGTTTTCATAGTCGTGAATACATTGAGGGCCTGATCCTTATGTCTCCAACCGGAGCCTGAGGTCCTCCACTCAGCCCCTGTTGATGGCCCCCTGCACTTGTTTTAAAACCAGAGGAGACAGATCCTTCCAGGCTGTTGCTCCTCGCCTTTGGAATGAGCGTCCACGGTCTCTGCACATGTTAGAGTCTATGGGAATTAGACAGCTATCTAATTCCCATAAGTCTGTTGACAATTTAAAGTCCCAACTTAAGACCAATCACAACAGTAGTTATCTCAGAGGACTTTACAAAGCCGTTTAATTCAGAGAATTCAACCGTTATTTGTGTATTTTTAAATGTGAAGCGCTTTGTGATCCTGTTCTGTGAGAGGCGCCATACAAAATAAGCTGTACTTAGTTACTTTTCATAGTTCTGGTCTGTTGATGCACAAAGACCCCCCCCCCCCCCCTCTCCTCCCTCCCCCTGTGCTCTCGTGACACACCTCCCTTCGCAGAGTGTGCATTCCCACATTGACAGTGCGTCTCTGAGTGTGACATCACAGCCCCCCCGCCGCACCCAGCCTTTCAGCAGAGTCATCTCCGCCGCTAACATCCCGTAATCATCCCATTTGAGCCATCGGCACAGCGACAGCACAAACAGGCCATGCGTGCGAGCGTTCATAATTACAGAGCAGACCTGGCAACCCGCTCAGACTGACTGGAGAGCAAGCCAACCCTCTCCGGCAGCCAATCCGAGCCCTTACATCTGCGTAGTCAGGCTTTAGTTATAAGGAACATGTGCAAGGTTTACTTTTAAAAGCTATTAACCATGATGTGATAGTTTCCCCTCTCGATCACTCATATTTAAAGCGGGGGTACCTTACTTATTTGACCTTTTTTTCTGACTGAAAAAGCTGATCTAAAAGGTGTGTGTAAAGGAGTTACATCTAAATCGTTTTTATTCTTCTTCCTTCCAAAGGTTTCTTACTTTTTCCCACTGGGTTTTTAGTTGTTCTTTGCCAAAGCAGGAGGGTCCGAGGACAGCGATGATGATCCAGGACACTCCACATTCACCCACATTTATGGAAATCTATTAAGATTTATGGAGATTGGAGATTCCAAACCTGCACACAACATTTTTAAGACAATTTCTTCTTGTAAAATATGCATGGTTTGAAAACGGGGTTGGCAAAAGCAAGAAGAAAGTCCAACCCCCTCTCACACAATCTCCACAACACAACCACAATGCAAAATATCAACAATTCAAATCTATAAACTACCCCTACCAGTAAAGTAAAGTAAAACACATAACAATACAATACTATAGCGATACAACACTGGGACAACACACAACAAGGCAAGACAACACAAGACTCAGACACTGGCCCCAAAGGTTCTCTGAACACACATCACTCACTCAATGCTCGGCTACTGTTTAGCCTCATGGACCAATGGCTCTTTGTTATCATTGCATTTATTGTGTTGGAACTGTTTGGTTCTCGGGTCTGTGTTGGGCGAATCCGCTTTGTAAAGTCTTCTGAGCTAATACACACACAAACTGTTGTGATTTAGGGCTATACAAAAACAAATCGAATTGAAATTGAAGTACACAGAGAACCAAAGATGTGGACATGGTATAATACTCCAGCAGTATCTTAGTTGGTACTTTGTGTGAATACCAGAGCTCTAAGGTATTTCTCCTCCGTATGAATTTGTCTTTTTTACAGTTTCAACATTGTTACAACATTGTCCTTTCATCCGTCCTCTTAGATTTGGCTCCGGTAACTAATCTTGGCAATCCCCCAAAACACTCAGTCAGACATTTAGACACTAATATTTAATGAATTGACAAGAATTTAATTAAAGTGCCATGGCTTAAAGCTGCACTAACTGATTTGGAGAAATTTTCAGACACGAGCGATGCAGTCCCTCTCTCTGCTCGCCCTCCCCACACCCACGGAGCTTTCGCCCCCCACTAGCCCTCTCCCCCGCAGCCTGTGCTCTCTGCTGATGTTAGCTTCAGAGCTAGCGTCTCACAATATGGAACAATATGGCACTTTTGCACGTGGATGGCGTGACCATAGACTGACAGAACCGGAAAGCACGGAGAGGACGGGACTTTCTTTTGGATGGATGTTTCGCTGAGTAAGCAGTAACGAAGACACCGGAAGTTTCAGGTTAGCCTCTGCCGCTTGTTGTGCTAACTCAGCTGTCGGTGCTAACCAGAGACCTGTGGCGTTTCTCAAGAAAGCGGGGGCCAGCGGTCCGCTGTGATTGGTCACAAACTGGACCCGAAACACATTCTCTTCCTTGTTTCATGAAAACTCGATCCAAAATATAATGTCACGCCAGCACAAACATGCACTACTTATTCTTCAAAAGGACGTATATCCCAATGCACTGCATGGATACGGATTAATAAATACGAAAATAAAGTCAGTTAGTGCAGCTTTAATTCTATTTTCTTTGAGCATAAGGAAACACAATGGCACACCTTGTATCGATCACGTATAAAATGTGGCGCACATGATTAGCCCACTCGGGTTTCTGCTCCTCTGAACCTGAACCTGTGGAGCATGTTAACCACGATGACTGACGCTCCACTGAACTAAAACTCTCTTCAGCCACGGGAAACTCAAAGTTCAATTCCATTCAATGTATTTTTCTCTATCCCTAAATCACAATAGCAGCCGAGTTTAAAAAGTTGTTGATTCGCCAACAAGATAATCAAACAGTAAAAACACAAACAATGTGGTCATCAAAAACACACAGAGCCGTTGGTCCATAATTGGTGCAAACTTGCGTAGTCTTGCAAAGTTTTTCCGATGTGTTTTTACTGCAAATGGCAAATAAATTCTTGTATCTTGTATAAGGGGCATATGACCAATGTCTATGAATGTCCTGACCTGGATCATCACTGCTGCCCTCAGACCCTCCTGCATTTGCAAAGAACTAAAAACCCAGTGGGAAAATCTCTGGGAAGCCCACATCGAGCGAGGGACTCAGGCTGTAGAACGAGGATCAAGGCCACGCAGTGCAGGACTGAGGTGGTTCCCAGGCGGGGAGTGCACTCAGAGTAAACCTGAACTTACAACAAACCAGCTTCTTGCAACAGGCCTGAGTCTTGTACCTCTGGTTGGGAAACACTGATAAAAAATACAGTCTTTTGTAAGAGTGGTGTAATCCGTAGTTTGTCCAGGACCGTCAAAGCAGAGACTGAACATGGACAGAGAGCAGACCAACAATAGGCCCACAACAACAAGGGCAGTCCACCAGGAAGTGCCTTGGATCAAAGCAAGGCAAAGTGCTTAACAAGAAAAAAAAAACATTCAAGGCTTTAAAATCAGAAATAATCTCAGTACTGGTATTTTCTAACAAGTGAACACACAATCCTTCAGTTGTAGTATCACAAAACCAAACTGCTTTTTTCTGGATTTGAGTAGAAGAATTTCTTACATTTTCACAAAGACTTTTCCAAATTTTAACATAATGAATATGGAATCCTGCCTCCCAATGTTTTGTCCTGATTCCAGGCATCAGCAGGAGGCCTGTCCCTGAGCTCCACCGAGTCCCAGCAGGAGGCCAGTCCCTGAGCTCCACAGAGTCCCAGCAGGAGGCCAGTCCCTGAGCTCCACAGAGTCCCAGCAGGAGGCCAGTCCCTGAGCTCCACAGAGTCCCAGCAGGAGGCCAGTCCCTGAGCTCCACAGAGTCCCAGCAGGAGGCCAGTCCCTGAGTCACAGATGTACTTTGGTGCAAGGCCCTAGAGAGACTTGTACACTATTAGAGCTGATTCTAAGTCCTAAGAGACCTGAGACCAGGAATAATGTGGTCAAACTTCCTGGTCTAGTGTTGGCGTTTTGAATTCGCTGCAGCTGTTTTACAACTCGTTTGGAGAGACCAGTGAGCCGCTGTTATTGTAGTCCGACCGACTAGAGACAAAAGCTTGGATAAGAATCTCCAAATCTGCTTCAGACACTATATTATTTAAGTTACTGATTTGATGTGCCTATAAAGTTGTGTATTACTCCTAAATTTTTGGCCTGATTTGAAGGTTTTAGGAATAGAGACTGGAGGTGACAGATCACTCTCACAGAACACTCTCTCTTTGTTTCTGGGTATCAACGAATATCATTTCAGTTTTATCTTGAGAAAGTTGAAAGGCCCCTGGTTCACTATTCATCTGGTGGTACCAGCAGGGAGATGTGACACTCCTCCCACAGGGCACTACCAAAGATCACCACAGCGCAGGAGAGGTGTAGTGGATGCCGTAGTGTAATCGTGCTGAGACTCTAGGTGTACGGAGTGTTGACTTGACAAGTATTGAAAAGTATTGAATATCAACAACTAGCAGCCTCCCACTGCTGCAGGACCTGTACGTCGCCCGAGCTCACGGGCGGGCTGATCCTATCTCTGCTGACCCCTCTCACCCGGCACATGGACTGTTCCAACCGCTCCCCTCAGGCAGGAGACTACGGCCCATCAGGACTAGAACCTTCCGTCATAAGAACAGTTTCTTCCCCTCTGCTGTAGGACACTTCATAAACCATCACTGACCTCTGACCTTATGACCGTCACTTTATGCTACTTTCACTTTACTGCTCTCTATCGGTCTATTGTGTGCACCTTGTGCACTTGTAAATAGTAAACTAAAGACATTTATGTAGATTTTTATTTATGCACGCCTTTGATTTTATTCTGCTTTAACTTGTTTGCACCGAGAGCAAAAGCAATTTCCTAGTTTGTGACTTCCTGTCACTTTTGTCCCATTGGCAAATCTTTTTGTTTAGACAATCAGAATGTTCTCAAATCAAAATACAGACACCTTGATTGAAGCATTTAGCTCATTTGTTATCCTTTTTTGCAGTGTAAGTAATCTCGGTCTTTTGCTGATGAGACCGTAGGTGTACAGTGTGTAGATTGTTCTTACCGTGGTTGGACTTGCCATGCACAGGAGTGTAGTGGTTCTTGGATGACGTTCGCACCGGAGTGTTGTCTTTGGGGGAGCCGTTCATGGCAGCGAAGTTCTCACAGTCGTACTGGGAGATGGGGATGGGCCCTTGCTGCCTCAGGATGTCTGCCAGAGCCCTGGAGAAGAGAGAAGGGAAGTCTGGGTTACACCAACACATGTGGTGCAGGATGCAATCTATCTGTTACAGAACTTGCCAGACTATTAATCAAGTGCACCTGTACACAAAGTGCACAAGCTACATTTGAAAAGAAAGTATCATACTTTACGGACTATAATGTGCATCTGGGTAAAAGCCTGAATGTGTTGGAAACGGCACACGCCCTAAGTAGCTCTGAAACAGTTGTTGTTTTGTGTTTTACAATTGTTAATTTTCTTGCTTTTTCTGCCTGAGATGTTGCTGCAGTACAGTGTTCATGGTTTTACACTGGTCCAGACTGGAGCGGAGAGGATGCATGGTTCGAACCAAGCGGTTCAGGTGAAAATCCACTGGAGGAATGCTGACTTTTAGAAAAATTCTAATGAAGCTTTCAGCATTTTACTTGCTAGAGCAGAGAAAATGGTTCGAACCAAGCGGCTACTCCACCTTTGCTTCTGTGAACTAAAGTGCTGTTGGTTATTAATACTATTGCTAGCTTAGAATAATCAGTTTATTTGTTTTGTTTGTGTGGATGGATGTGTGTGTGGATACCTGAATTTCTCTTACGGGGATTAATAAAGTATCTAACTATCTATAAGCTGCAACACCTACATTCAAAAAAGTCAATGCTGTCCATATACAGGCCACATTTGAATATACAGTACGCCACAGGTTTTTCTGTAGCCTGTGGCTTAAATTCCGCTATATTATTATATTATATAGTTTTCCTGTTCTTCCTATATTCCTATTTTTCCGCTTCATCCGTTGCCCGGTGAAGTGGAAGAAAATGAAATGGAAATGGAATGGTTTTTATGATGTAATGTAGCAGATAGACGACTGGTCACAACATGATTTAATGACAAGGTTTTTATAAACTTTGTCCTGAAGCCGAAAGATCAAGGTTCTGCTCTCACCGGCAGAACATGGGTAGATGGCTTTTAAAATGTCATGTTTGTTAAAAATGTAATGTCTGTGGCCCGAAGACTGTGATACTCCACAAAACTCTGGGAAAAAAAGCTGAATAGTCGAGGTTGAAGCTGCTGGAACCAAGCATTGTTGCCACATTTCACTGTGATTATTTAGTGTCTCAAACAGCTTCAAGTGGGCTCCTGGAGCAGAAAGCATTGTGTTAGAATCAACTAAAGTAAAACAACTGCTGTCGTGATTTTGGGCTGAATAAAATGAATGGATTTGATATGATGTAGTTTGAGCATGACATATTCTTGTCTTTTCATGCCCAAAGCTTCTCTGACAGCAGAGGGTAAATGTTGTTTCAGTGCAGAGCAGCTCTAGATCAGTTTACGACGCAGTAAATTTGCAAAGCGTGCTTCTAATTAGAGCGCAGGCCGTTATGTCATGATGAGATATTCAGGCTTTCTTCTGAAGAGGAATGCTCATGTGCACAAAGCGCTGGATGGGATCAGTCTAATTGGGCTGAAACACACTGTTTTTGATTTTCAGAGCGCACCAGGTGCATATGGGAGGGGGGAGGACCCACGTGGGAGGGAGGGAGAGAAGAGCATTAACGCTGGAATACCTAAAGCTCAGAAAGTATAGGCTCTTTTGTGAACATGGGACAGAAGCTGAAATCAGTTTCACATCCTCGTCTACCTCTGGATAACTTACATTGAATTATTGAACACACTTGTGTAGATTCTGCAGAAAAAAACGATGTGAGTCACTCCAGACGCCTCTCTTTGGACTGAGAGCTGATTGGCTGCTGCGGGGGTAATCCACCCCAAGCGGATGACAAACATCCATGTTCATACTGATGATGAGACACAACAAAGACATGTCTTTGTCCTGAGACCCAGAGGCAAGAGGAGGTGTGTTTTAGAGACATGTTGAAGTCAATCAAATCCTTTTGCCCTGTCAAACGATAAGAATTTCTAATTGCGATTAATAGCATTATTGTCATAGTTAACTTGCGATAAATCACATTTTTCCATCTCTTAATGTTCCTTGATTTGGTTATGGTTAGGCACATCTCAGCCCAAAATTTCACAAGAACAACTTTATAAAGAGGTGGAGAGGTCCTTCCTCAAGTGGAGGAGTTCAAGTATCTCGGGGTCTTGTTCACGAGTGAGGGAAGGATGGAGCGTGAGATTGACAGGCGGATCGGTGCAGCGTGCGCAGTGATGCGGTCGCTGTATCGGACCGTTGTGGTAAAGAGGGAGCTGAGCCGAAAGGCAAAGCTCTCGATTTACCGGTCAATCTTCGTCCCCTCCCTCACCTATGGTCATGAGCTTTGGGTAATGACCGGAAGAACGAGATTGCGGAGACAAGCGGTCGAAATGAGCTTCCTCCGCAGAGTGGCTGGGCGCTCCCTTAGAGATAGGGTGAGGAGCTCAGTCACACGGGAGGAGCTCGGAGTAGAGCCGCTGCTTCTCCACGTCGAGAGGAACCAGTTGAGGTGGCTCGGGCATCTGTTCAGGATGCCTCCTGGACGCCTCCCTGGGGAGGTGTTCCGGGCACGTCCCACCGGGAGGAGGCCCCGGGGAAGACCCAAGACACGCTGGAGGGACTATGTCTCTCAGCTGGCCTGGGAACGCCTTGGGGTCCCCCCGGACGAGCTGGAGGAAGTGTGTGTGGATAGGGAAGTCTGGGCGTCTCTGCTTAGACTGCTGCCCCCGCGACCCGGCAACGGATAAAGCGGAAGAAAATGGATGGATGGATGGAACTTTATAAAGGAAAGAGCGCTGTGTGCAGCTCAAACTCTGACTGTCAGCGTTTTGCTCTTATTTCCTCAGCTTCAGGTCAGTGTTTTAAATATTGCCTCATGTGTGACATGTTTATATTCACCTCTTCACCGACACATGGACTTCACAAGGGGTTTATTTATTATATTTCCGGTCACTGGTCAGTGTTAAACACATTCAAAGACAGAGAAGTGTTCACAGTTACTCCCAAAGGGAACACTGTACAAAAACTTATTTAACCCTTTAATGTTCACTCCTTGGAGAAAACAATGTATTTGTTTTCTATTTTGTATTTTCTAAGATAGGAGCACTAACTACACAATTATTTAATTTTATTTTCATCCTAGTTTTTTTTACAAGCCTTTACTACATGGTTGAAATGCAGTTTGATGTAAAAGTGCCTAAAACCAAGTGAGACGCCCCAAAAGAGGTAGATTTCAGTTCCAAGCCCCAGTTCCTAGTGACTCAAAAAGTGATTTACCAAATGGTTAAGAAAACTAGTGTTTTACGCACATATCACAGAAGTATTGACACGAGGCTGCGCCTAACATAGGATTGATTTCTAATTTTGTGTGCGCAGCAACGTGTCTCCCAGTCAAATCACAATGAAACATAATTTCTAGCGGTCCTTGGCTTTAGATTGCATCTACACACACAAAACACTTGTATCTAAAAAATAGCAGGAGGAGCAGCAGGTTTTACAGTGGTTCTGGACATCTTTTTTTTTCTTTCATAAAGTCTTGCGTCTGGCCAAACCAGCGCACAGAGACCATGAAGACAAACACATGCATGTGATTTGTGTTGCTCTACATCAGTCCTCTGGCCCGTACCGTCCTCTACACTTCTCCATAGACTACACAGGGACAGCATCAGAAGCCGTGGACCTGCGCACACGGCCAGTGGACATACAGCCAAGTAATGTTACACGCAGATGCGCGCAGTCAACGCTTACGTGCTGCTAACACCTACAGTGTAAATTCCCTGTGAGGCTTCCGTCTTAACCAGAGCTAATCATGTGAAAGCATGTTTCAAAGGATTTAAATTTAGTATTGCCCAACAAATATTTCAGAGGAAAATGTAATAAGACGTTGTGTGAGAGAAGTGGGAAGTGTGTAGTCCTCACGATCGTGTGTTGGTGCGCTGCAGCCGCATCAACACTCGATCCATTATACAGGCTTAAGTATAATGCAGCCCATAAAGAAAACTATTCAATCTGCGGAAAATAATATGTGTCAGCGTTTGTTCAGCCATGTGCAGAGAACATGCGGCGCACTGGTGAGTGGGGGGGGACCCAAGGGTGCTCGTGTGCGGTCACGGGTGCACTTTGGAAATGGACAAAAGGGTTGGACATAAAAAAATTGTAACATGTTTTTTTGGGGTATGATATGAAGAAAAGTAAAGGGATGTGGACGTGTATAAAAGAACACAAAGGAATCGTAAGTGTTTGCAATGTGGGTGAACATAAGACACTAAGAGAGGTTTGGTGGTTTGGCAGTAGGTATGGTGTTCTTTGGGTAAAACACAACACGCTTTCTCCTACAAACATACAAAGAAAAGTTCTATTTTGTTTTCATCTGACCATAGGACATTATCCCAAACCTCGTCTCTTATTACAACCATAAAGTATACCCCCCTACATGGTACAATGGTACAACCAGAAAGTAGTGTGAGATTAGTGTGAATCGGCTTCTTCTGGAAAAAGCCAAACACTGTTGTGATGTCGTGCTCACTTACTCCATATTCCACAGACAACAAACTGTGAATGGTCATACTGTGTATGGTTGTACCATGTAGGGTGGTATACTTTATGGTTGTACCATGTAGGGTGGTATACTTTATGGTTGTACCATGTAGGGTGGTATACTTTATGGTTGTACCATGTAGGGTGGTATACTTTATGATTGTACCATGTAGGGTGGCATACTTTGTGGTTGTACCATGTAGGGTGGTATACTTTGTGATTGTACCATGTATGGTGGTATACTTTATGGTTGTGATGACAGCCGGTGAATGTGTGACAGCTGCCGCCTCGTCCCGTCAGGCTCTGGGCGATTATTTTTTGTTGTAACGTCAGCAGCAGAGATAAAAGCTTTGAGAAAATATGTGAACACAGACCCCCGTCGCAGACAGGGCAAGGACAGGCTGAGGAGCACAAGCTCCTCTGTGTTTTTGCTAAGGCTCAATTTTCTAATAAACAATGCAAATACAATTCAGTTTTCAATTGTTTCAATTTCAATGTGCCAGTTTCAGAACGAGACCCGGAGAATGTGTGAGACTTCAAACTCACAGTCACAAAGTCACAGAAAAAACATGCTTGTTTCCAACGGGACAAACAGGACCCTCAGAAAATCCCCAGCATTTCAGAATCTGAAAACAACTTAGGAACAATCTCCAACAAAGACTAAACTTGGCAAAAAACAAGTTGAATACTGCTCAATTCATATTTAGGAATATTTGTAGTATCTTTGTAAATCCAAAACAAGGTTTATAAACTGTTTGTTATTCTTCAATTTATGTTTTATTCTTAATGAACGTTTTTTGATCTGCTTCATTTCACTTCATCATGATTTTATTTTTGACTTTTCAAATAATCTACAATTTTGTAGATATCAGATGACTGTAGTATCGATGGTTTGACAAAATACACTCTGAAGAACCGAACGTGAATTACTTTCCTAAGCAGGGCAGAACCTGGTTCGTACTGTGATGGGAGACCTCTGGTGCCACAATGGGGCAGCTGTGGGTAAAAAGTGCCAAACTGTCGTTGGTTCATTTGGAAAGATCCTTCACCCACATTGTCCAGAATGAGTCTGGAGTGTGAGAGAATAGCGTTGATGGTGGAAGGGGCCGATGGACAACTGTCTGCCTTGCTCCTGTCAGTCCGCCCCAGGGCATCAGTGGCTACAGTAGTAGTTTATGACCACAGTGAGTAAAAGAATAATGTTGAGAAGTGCCTTTGGGTATCCAAAAGTGTGCTACATAAAAGCAATGCATTTGTTATAATAAGGACCAACTCTTCACAGAGCATTTCAGATTCATGTTGCTAAAGTGTGGAACTGTCTTCCTTAAAATATGAGGCAGGCTTCTACATGTTCTGTTTAGCAAAGCTAAGCTTTGGATTGTATCTTCACTCTTTTTAATATACAGTGGTCCCTCGTGTTTTGTGGGGTCACGTTCTAAAACAGTAGCAGTGATGTTTTAAGGCGTAAAGACTTTTCTTACTATGTGACAGCTGCTGAAGTGCGATCACGAAGATATCAAACCTGTTGATTATGGGTCTGAGCGCTGCTGCAACTGTCAAAAGCCGTGCATACACTGTGAAATACAGTGGACACTGAGCGGCAGGAGCAGGACTGAGGGAGAGGGAAGACTGTGGTTGTCCTTTGCACTAATCACACAAGCCACAAAAGTTTCCTTCTGACTTTAAAGGGAGGTATCTGTCATGTTCCACTCGCAGTTATATGATGGTATATATAATGTTGTTAGATTATACACATGGCGCATAAGAAGTACACTGCAAAAAAGCACACAAACATTTACCACAAAAATTAAATAAATAATGAGGACGAGCGAAAGGCGAACCGCGATGTAGCGAGGGACTACTGTACAATTATTTTTCATGTTTTTAAAGCTTTGTGTGATTTTGATTTGGTCTTTTCTTGATTTTTGAAGCACTTTGAGTTGCCTTGTCATTTTTCTGTCGCTAGCTTGTTGGCATGTCGCTGCTTGGTGGCGTGCAGTGGGGAAAAAGCAGATTTTGTGGGATTTGGGTACAGTCAGAGCATGACAGACCCCCAGTGGTGCTCCTGTGCAAGATGAGACTGGACTCTGAGGCTTCCCCAACAAAAAAATCCACTGTAGAGTCGCTTGAAACCCATTAGAATATAGATCATTTTCGTAATAATATGTATGTGTTTCTTGTAATTAACAATTGTCCATTAGTCACAACCGTTGGAGAAATTCAGGTGTACAATTATAAACATTTCTGTCTAACTAGCTATGCCCATGGGTCATTTTGGGGAACTTTCCTCGCCTGGTTTTCTTTGTGTATAATGGTTCATAAAACAGTCATCTTTTGATGCAGAGTCAAGCAGTATACTTTGTTTTTTTCAGTACAACCTGGGGTTTTAGAATATTCATATTGTAAAGCTGTCATATGAATTATATAAAAATGATGGAATCATAAAGACAAAGAAAATAATCAAACGGAAAATCAATTTAACAAACATGTATTGAAAAAACACAATGAAATGCTATAAACAACTTTTTACACTGCATAGAAATGTTATTTATGGTCTTGGGGATAATGGGGGAAAAAATTGAATCTCTAACTATTATACTTTTTACAAAATTCCACTATAAAAGCAAAAAACTCTGTACTCCTGATGCCCTTCTTGAAGCAGTTTGTCTATAATGCTGGGGTTGCTTCTGTAGTACAGCTGTAAAAAACATAAAACATAAAAAACTGAGCCAAAAAAAAAACAAAACATCAATTGTATATAAATATATGTATTAAATAAATATCATATACACATAATGTCATTTTACTGTATTTATTATCGTCTTTATCAATAATGCGCACTCTTCAGCCGGTTTTTGCAATCGCAGCTGTAGTTTCAACTGTGGGAGAACAAGGAAACGCAGAGGAGTGAGAGATCTCACTCTCTGACGATCTTTGGCAGTCCCCGTGTGTTTGTATCTCACAGCTGTTTGTACCTCACGGGTCATGCTTTGGACACGGACTTTCAGACAAACGTAGTTTATCCTCCGTGCATCGCACAGACAAATCACGAAAGCCCTGATTACGTACTTCACAGAGGAAAAAAAAGTAAGTTGCTACGTTTTACCGTTCGCGAGTAAATTGATCATTTGTAAAACATGTGCGCGTGCATCGGCACCGATGCACGCGGGCATATATTAACAGACTAATAATATAGATACTTTAGTGATTTATGGATAACACTGCATTATTGCCTTTATTGCCCCAGTGTTTTGCTGTATCACAGTCTTTACCCAATAACTTTATAGCTGATAAAAGCTGAAAACCGGGCGACTAAAACCAGACTTTCTCATTTGTCCAATCTGTCTCACGTTACATGTTGCCTCGTTGCGATATGAATTGTGTATAAAACATTAGTGCAAACTGATGGAAGAGGACTTTATAGACACTAAAACAGCTGCAATATGTCATCCATGTTTACACAAAGATTACACTTCCATCTACAACACACTAAATTTGTACATTTTTACCATGTTTGATCCCTAAAAACAGAAGTCATTCACCGGCTGAATATAAAAAGTCAAAACAGGCTTCACTTTCATGTAGCCACCGGTTTGTCTCTGGGAATGTTGCTTCAAAACCTCCATATTTAAGTATGGGTGGTTTTTGTTGAGTGAGAAGAACTTGTTTTCTTTCCACCAATTCAGGCTAGTGATGTCACATGCAGGTTTCCATTTTAAATCTAACGTTAAATGCCATATGATAGAAGATTCCAGGCAAAAGGAAAACATTTTGTGAATTGAAAAAAAAACTGACCCTTGCACCTTTAATTTTTAAATAGTGACATCTAGAGATATGGATAGATAGATAGATAGATAGATAGATAGATAGATAGATAGATAGATAGATAGATAGATAGATAGATAGATAGATAGATAGATAGATAGATAGATAGATAGATAGATAGATAGATAGATAGATAGATAGATAGATAGATAGATAGATAGATAGATGGATGGATGCTGCATTAGAAAGCCGGGTTACAGTTTGCCCATTTACATACAGTTTAAAATGTTCATTAGAAGCAGTGCAATTAAAACTCACTTTAGGGCCAGGTGGGGAATGCTCAATTGTTGGTGTAACTGTGTGTGCTAAAGCTGTAAATGTGTGTATGCACTAGTGACTTGTCCTGTATCCGAGAGTGTGTATATTTGTATTTATTAATTCATGATTTTTGTATGTGTTCTCATACCGCTGATGTCCAAGACACATGTCTTCATGGAGACAAGAGAAGCTTATGTTACTTTATCTTGTATGCAGAGGATCTATGCTGGATTGACTGATTGAGTGACTGAAAGATAGCTTAAATCTTTTTACTGCATTATTGATGCTTTTTATGTTTAAGTGAGAGATGGGTAGCCAGTCCAACACTTACCACATATACCACACACACACTGAGGAACCCTTGCGCACACTTAATTCTTGCTAACAGTTTGTCTCCGGGACTGTTACTTCAAACCCTAAATATTCTTAGTATGGATGGGTTTTTTTTGGAGTGAGAAGACTTTTATTTCCACTCTGTAATTCAGTCTAATGATGTCACATACATGTTTCCAATTTAAATGTAACGTTGAATGACAGATGGTAGAACATTCCAGGCAAAAGGATTACATTTTGTGAAAGGAAAAACTGACCTTTGCACCTTTCAGTACTTGTTAGTGACATCCAGATATAGATAGATATAGATAGATAGATAGCTCAAATCTGACATTTTGACTGCAACTTATTGATGAGACTGTATACTTTTATTTATTTATTTTCTCTAAAGTGAGACATGGGTAGCCACTCTACACACACCACATACATACCACTGAGCAGCCCCTACGCGCACTTCCACTCACCTGTGTATGTTCATCTCCTGCGGCGGCTCCGTGGCTTTGTCGTAGGCCACTTTCACAGACACCCCGAGCACGATGATGAAGGCTATCACCCCGCACGTGATGTAGACCGCCGTGTTGGTCTGGTCCATGCTGGGGTCGTACGTGTCCCCGGTGGGCACGGGCGAAGGGGCGGCCGTCTGCACCCACTTGGGGGACTGGTAGTTGTCGCACGCACGCTGGTTGAGTCGGTCCTTCTTGTACTCGCAGCAGAAGCGCAGGAAGCACGTCCCGCAGCAGTAGCGGTGGTCGGTGTTGTTGCATTCGAACATCTTGTCGTACTGCCCGCTCACGTCGTAGTAGCCCAGGCAGGTGTCGTGCGTGCTGGCCGGGGGCGTCCGCGGGGTAACCGTGGTGCTGGTGGCGGTGGAACCGAGCGCGAGCGTGGTGGTCCTAGGGGGTTTGCGCGTCGCGGGCTTGTTGGTTTTTTTCACTGAACCCATTACGCACAGCGGGTCTAAGTACATGAGCAGCAGCAGGACGTGACCGATCCCCATGTTTGGAACTTATTTGCGCGGTGACACCTCAACACTTGAATGATTGATGGTTTAATATTAGCAGTAGTCTTTCAAAAGTGTGTCTTCGTCTTCTGTCATCGCTGGCAACGAGTCAAGGGCACGTAACCGCGGCTGCCATTCATGTTGCATTGGCCAACAGTTTTGTGAAGTCCTTCCAAGGCGCCTTTCCGTGGTGTTTCGAGCTACAACACCGACAATAAATAGCTTTTGATTCGATTCTGCATCTCTCCGTGACGCGCGCTGCCTCTCTGTGTTCTTTTATGCGCCAGAATTCGCGGATTTCTGTGCAGGAATGTCACCTTTTGCTCTTCTGTGGAGGTGTGTTCGCTGTCCGAAGTGCTGCTTTCCACACGAGGGAGAGGAGATCCACTGTGGGGAAAGATCTTCGCTGTCCAGGCGCTGGAATTACGCGCGCAAACACTGGTGCGCGTTGGGTTCGCTGTGCGCTCTCCGTGGTGCTGATTCCGCCAATGCGCAGCGCGGTCTTCTCCTCGGCTCGTGGTCGCTGTCTCTAAGTGCTAGAAATCTGGTTTTAGGGAAAACACCCCACTGGTTATTGATTCGTGCGCTTCCTTTCACTTTTGCTGATGCTGTTTGACTATCAACTCATTGCAAACTAGTAACAGTTGAGTTTTTTAGATTGAGTTGCTTTTAGCTCATTTGCCTTCTTTGCCCCTCGTTTCATCGCTCCAGTGGCGTGCTTGAGTCAGGACCCCCTCTTATTCGGGGTCTCACTCCGCTGCCACAGTCCCGGGAAGTGAGCTGGGTATCTGCGCGCTGGAAGCAGGCGTCTCGCTCTCCCTGCACTCCCTCGCTCTATGCTCCACCCACTGCCCCCGACGTCACGGCACTGGAAGACGAAAGAGAAGTGAGCGAAGAAAACTCCTGTCACTATACACAGCAACTTTGGAAGATGTATAATATGTCATATAATAACACTAATGTGAACTAAATAAAACTAAATACTTTTCACAAACAAATATTATATATATTTTCGTTTATGAAAATGTTTTAGTTGCAGAGAACAAATGTGGAGTGTAGAAATGGGTCTTTATCAGGGCTACAGAGTATCCACAACATTTGGGCCAGAGCACTTGTTGTTTTACTGCCCAGTGAAGGACCTGTGTTTCTTCATCAAATACCTTCACCAATTAAAACGATCTCTTTAAACAGCATCTATCTAGACTCGAATTTTAGAAAACCTGTCCGTCTGTTACAAGGCATTGCTGTTAGTCACCACTAGGGGCGCTGGTGCTGTGTGAAGAGCGTACTCTGAGCAGAATATCAGTTTACCCACAACATCTGTCACATTTTTCCGTCGCCCCGGCTGCCTGTAAGTAACTTTTCCCAACATGTTGCTGTTGTTACTCACAAGCAGTTTTCACATAATTTTACAGAGAGTTGTAACACGGGGCGACAGCGGAAGAGAGACGGTATTTTTGACACACTAATTGTTCAAGCATATTAGAAAACGTAGTGACTTTGGTAGCCTCCTACACTGACATGAGCCAGATGCCTGCGAAGGCATCCTCATAGACTTTGCATGTAAATGTAATGGGGGGTGTAATCCAGCGTGAAAACAAGCATAATTTCATATAACATAAACATAAAACAGGAAATGTTTGCTTCAACCATCGTGGAATCGGTTCTTTAATCAAACAAGCGACATGGACAGAAAAGTCCTTTTTACAACAACAAAAACACGTGTCGTTTCATCATCATTCATTCAGTATTTTGTGTGGGTTTGTGTTAGAATGCAGTTAAACTTTTCTCTTTTAGGCTACACATGGACACACACACATGCACAGCGGGCCAGCACAGGGATAACACACATGGGTCAGTCGCTAGTGCAGCTCTGGCTCAAGCGGCTTCAGTCTAAACGCTGCCCTCTGCTCTGGGTCCAGTTCAAATATAGCTGAAATAAATATCCAATATTCACTCACTCCATATGAGTTTGTCACATCTCATCATCGCGGCTCACATCCAGGTGCTGAAGTTTGGATGGTAAAGTAGAAAAGCGTCCTCAAAGCCGCCAATCACCCATGTTTGAAAAAATGTGTGGTCCGCAACGAGCAGACCAATATTGGACTCACCCAAAGACATCAAACATAAACCCTAGAGTACTTTCTCAACTAAAACCATGTGAAAAGCCAGATTCTGTCAGACCTCTGAAGATAAGCATAGCAGGGCCGGGTTAGTGCTATGATGGGAGACCATGGGAACATCAGATACCACAGTGCGGCGGCTGTAAAGTGCCAAACAAAAGAATAATGTGACATGTAAAGCATTTTTGAGAAACCAAAGAAGCGCTATATGAAACTGATGCATTATTATTATTATTCCTAAATTAATTGTGAGAATAAGCTACTATGTCAAATGTCATAAAGATCAAAACATTTAAAGAGAAACTCATGAACTTAGTGGATTTATTTTTCCTTCTTCAACATGAGTCCTGACTTCTTACGCTCCCTGCCAGCTCCCTCCCTCCTCATGTGGGTGACTCCTGCTGGTGGGAGGACTGTGATGCGGAAGAAGAGATCAGGGAGGAGGGCCGCGGGGAAAACCATTTTCATTCAAAGTGACTTATCTGTGCGCATCCCTGTTCCTGGCCGTAATCGTGGGGGACAGCACATTGATTTCCTTGTGAAACGCTGTCATTACAGATTCATTGTGCCGCTTTGTCAAACGCGGCCTGTTTTTCAGATTGTGCGGTAATGAACAGAGACAAAATATATAAATAATGGGATGTATTCATGTGTTATCTTTGTCTTTGAAATAAATTAGTTTGAAAAGTGTGTGTGTGTGTGTTTGTGTGTGTGTGTGTGTGTGCTTGTGTGTGTGTGTGTGAGTGTGTCTGCAGCCTCATCATCTTTATTAGGGATGCTAGATTTTCAAAATCGATACAAGTATGAGTATTTATTTTGAGTACTTGCCGATACCAAATACCAACATGAGTACTGCATTGTGTTATCTCTGAGAATTCATAAAACTATTACAACTTAAACTGTTTTATTTTTCATTTCAACAATAAGAAAATACTTTAACAATTAAACATTTTAGAAATTGTTATAACAATTAAAAATAAGAGCCACTGTCAAATTCCAGTCATACAAATGGTACAGAGTCTGTAAAATGGCTGCAGCTCCTGGTATTTCATCCCGTGGATCAAGTGAATTCAAAAGACGTCTAAAGCCAACATCTTCCACACACTAAAGTGGCTGGTCATCAAGAACAATTTACTCTGCAATTAGTCCGCTGATTCTTATTGCTCGTGGATTATCGCTTGACATCTTTTCTCGCTTTCACAAAGTTTCTTGTAGAGCTGGTTATAATTTTTGTGCCCTGGTCCTAGCAAAAGAGCTATACTCGGCGTGGTGGTGAGTTCTCAGATTTTTGATCGAGTTGCTGGTGCAATCCGTGTTTGTTTTGGACCCACCTCGTAACAGGTTTGCCACAAAGGTCAGATTTACTCTTGTTACTCGTTTACTTAAAAAAATCTGCCCACGACCGATGTCCTGTCCGCTGGCCGCCAGTGTGACGCCAATTTAAAAATATGGGTATAAGTTGCTGGCATCGGGTCCTATGGTGTAGTTACGAGTACCAGAGCAAGCCTAAGGTATCAACCCAATACAAGTACCGGTAGCGGTGTGTCCGTTATCCTCATCATCATAACCTCTGTAGAAAAAAGACCCAGTTCACTCTTCACCATGTGCCAGATGATCCTCAATATCGTCCGTGGTATTCACTCTTTTGACTCAGTTTTTTAATCCTGTTTTTTCCAAAATAATAATCTAGTTATTTTAAAATTATTAGTTAAACAGAAACAATGATGTGCTAAAACAAAACATTATACTGGATGGAAAAAAAGGGACATTTTTTGGCTCTGTGCGCATGCATGACAACGGTTGCCGTGTTGTCATGGCAACACACCTTAGCTTTGTGATGTCATTCTAGAATTTTGGCTTTACAAAGTTCACATGAGAGGATGATTACAGGCTGAGAAGACATACACACACAACATAAACACATTATAGACACAAAAGCAAATACAAGACAGACAACATGCACCGTGAACATCCCAGTGAAGTTCACAAGACAGACCTGTCCCTCCTTTATGAACTGGCATGTCTGCACCAGCTGCAGCTGCAGTTCACTGAGATGGGTACAGAGGGTCCGAGCCATGCACAGACCTTCCACATAGAGCTGGCGGTGGGGGACCTGGTGGGGTATGGTTCAGGTCCCACCAAACAAAAGGCCAAGCTAAGTGCAGCAAAGGTGGTTTTGCATCAGCTGAGGAAGCGTCCTTTGCCAGAGGACGTGACTCCCTACTGGTCCAAACCCCGCATGGAGCTGGTGGACCCCTCACTACGGGTCTATTTCTTCTACAAGAAAGACCCCATCAGTGCCCTGGCAGAGATCCTGATGGTGAGGAAGCAGAGGCCTGCTGAGTACAAGGTGGTAGGCTTCCAACACCTTGGCTACCATGCATCAGAGTTCTGTATAGAGGTCAGAGTGGACCACAGGACATGTCAGGGACTGGGTCCAAACAAGAAGGCGGCCAAGCTCCAGGCAGCAGAGACGATGCTGCACATGATCGGGTTCAAAGCGCAGATGGAGCTGGACAATCCTCAGCTGTCCCCCTCTGAGGAGCTCCTCTTCCAGCAGAGGGTCTTCAAACTGCGAGAGACAGAGAAGCTCCAGGCCAGGCAGGCATTTAAGGCTACTGTCGCATCAGCTCAGAAAGACACACATACATCCCAGAGGGAGAGTTCCCCACCGGCACTCCAGGAGCCCATCCCAGAAGAACCCATCTTAGAACAGCCTGTCTCTGAGCCAATCATAGAAAAGCCAATCATTGAGAAACCACTTTTAGAGGAGACAATGTTGTTGAAGATCTTGTCCCCGAGGAGCCAATCAAAGAGGTACATGTTCCTAAGGATCCTGTCCCTGAGGAGACAATCGAAGTGGAGAAAATCCAACAGGAGACAATCACAGAGGAGAGAATCTCAGGGAAGACAATCCCAGTAGAGACAATCCAAGTGGAGACAATCCAAGTGGAGACAATCCCAGAGGAGACCATACAAGTTGAGACAATCCAAGTGGAGACAATCCAAATGGAGACAATCCCAGAGGAGACAATACAAGTGGAGACAATCCAAGTGGAGACAATCCCAGAGGAGACAATACAAGTGGAGACAATCCCAGAGGAGACAATCCCAGAGGAGACAATCCCAGTGGAGACAATCGCAGAGGTGACAATCACACAGGAGACAATCAGAGAAGAGACAATCCCAGAGGAGACAATCCCAGAGAATACAATCTCAGAGGAGACAATCACAGAGGAGACAATCACAGAGGAGACAATCTTAGAGGAGACAATTCCAGAGGAGACAATCAGAGAAGAGACAATCCCAGAGGAGACAATCCCAGAGAAAACAATCTCAGAGGAGACAATCAGAGAGGAGACAATCCCAGAGGAGACAATCCCAGAGAAAACAATCTCAGAGGAGACAATCCTGGAAGAGAAAATCTCAGAGGTTCCTGTCCTTGCGGATCTTTTCTCTGAAGATCTGGTTCAGACCCCCTGTGCTGTCGCCCCTACTTCTCCTGAGCAGGACAGTCCAGTGGATCTTTCCTCGTCCCTGGACTTGACCTGTTCTTTAGACCTTGTGAGTCTGGTGCAAGACCATAACCCACCTGATATCATCCAAGTACCTCCTTCTCCAGAACACCAAAACCTTCAGGACTTTAGCACTTCTTCAGCAACTGTCGGTCCAATAGAGAGAGCTGTCCCTCCAGAGACACAGGACATCAGCTCCAATAACGCTCACTTCTTGGTCTCAACGATGATCCAACATTTCTTGAACAAATCCCCCGTGTTCCTAGACATTAGGGAACAAGGAAGAGTTATTTTGCAACTGCGTGAGGTGGAGCGAAGAGTCTCCATGCCCCAAGGAACAGACCTGAAGACCAAAGACCTCAAAGCCATAGCTAAAGAGACGGCTAGAAGTCTTCGGGAAGAGCTGGGACCCTTCACCTCACCCCTGCTCTGGAGTGAGTATTTCCTCAATTCAGCGGTGAGACATCTGAATTTCCAGCTGGAAGACTTCTTTGACGAGGACAGAGGCCGACGACCAGAACGCTTCTTCTCCCGAGTGTTTAAGCTGTTCAGGATCAGGAGGAACAGAGTGTCGCCTGGTCCTCTGAGAGCATACATCAGATCAGCATTCTAAAGCACACCACTCCTGCCAGAGGGCACCTTCACTTATTGTAGGAGGTCCCAGCAAAAGGGCTGCGACCAAAAAAATAGGCATCAAAAATGAAAAAAAAAAGGATGGATTCAAGAAAATCAAAAAGGGCAGGAAACAAGAATCAAAATTAGGACAAAAACAACAAGCAAGAAAAAAAATCATGAAAATCAACAAAAGAAAAAAATACTTTGAAAATGAAATTGGGAAAAACAAGGCCCATTTAAGTATCACATGGCATAAATGTGATATTTAAATGTCGTGTGGTGTATCGTGAAAAATGCAGATTTTTTAAGATATGCCTTGAGCTTCGAAGAATTGAAAAAAAAAATTGGAATGAGGGGGTAAAAAAAATATATATATTCATAAATTGGGAAAAACAAGGTTCATCCAAAGCCTTATGGCATACCTTAAGAATGTGGATTTTAAGATATACCTTAAGCTTTGTTAAACTGAAAAATAAATACACATGGAATGGGGGGTGGGGGGGAAATAAAACAATAAAAAAAAAAAAAAAAAAGTTTGCGTCATGTTTATTATGTGGGTGAGTTTCATCAAATGCACTTGGTAGCCAGAGCTGACCACTGCTGAAATATATCTGAAAATAATTAATAACATTTCACAGAAGTAACTTGTTTGATTGCGTTACATAAAAGAGCTCTACTACCAGTTTGTACAAAGTGGTTTAGAGAAGTCGTAATTGTCACTTCTGTACTTCGCAAAGTTCACCTTTTACAGAGATTCCTCGACGACTTCCCTGAGATGTATGTATAAGTTTAATAAGAGTTCAACACATTCAGACTGGAGCTTAGTTCATACATCTGCATCACTGCCTAAATACACAGACTTTTGCACCGTTCAACATGATCGTTCTCGACTGGTGAAAGGAAGTCTCTCATCCCAAACAGTTCTGGGAAATGATAAAGAACACTTGGACGTCCACAAGGAACATTTACATTCCTTCATGGACAAATGTGGTGTCATCATCTAGTTCAACCGGTGAAAGAAAATAAATCTCATGTAAATAATAAGACTACAGGACATTCAGAGTAGTTCTAAATCTCCACCACAAGTTGTCAGTATAGACCACATCATGTGTAGAACAATGGTCCCTTTTGTGAGATATTCAGTTGTGTTTTCATGACGTTTGCCTCACTCCAAATATTTAAAAGTCACTTTTAATGTGGAGGCCCCAGGTGTGTCGCTTGTTGCAGATCTGCTCTTGACGTGGAGAGTCAGCATTTGAGACCAATGCAGCTAAAATCTGGAATAATCATCCTGAATACGTGGCAAATGCCAGTGCACTTGGAGACGAGGCTTTGACCAAAAGTGGATTCTTGGATTCAGAAGCAGTGTGGTTTCTGGACCAGTTCAATACACTCCACTGGATACTCGAGGGTTCATGGGAGTTCGCCTCAGTCCACGTGTGCTTTGAGGATCTGGAGAAGGCATCTGGCCTTTGACTTAGGGTTATGTCCCGGGTCTTCTGCTGAGGGCCATCCAGTTGTTTCGAACGATGATAGAGAGGTTCAGTGCCGCACAGGAATTTTGGAACTGAGGATAAAAAATATGCTACTAACGAGTGTATACTGTTTTGTCAGCACTCTGTTGTGATGATGGATGTTTATATGACACATTGAATCGATGTGAATCAATACAGTAATATTTCCATGAGACCAATTACCATTTTGTTTTGGTACAGAAATATCTAAACTGTTTGTGTTTTCTTAATCGTTTTCATATACAATGGAGAAGCTTAGTTCTATACGACACGTGCTAAATGCCCCTGAATGCTGAAGTCTTCTGCTTCAGTAGCTCTCCTTCTTGGACGTTCTCATGATCACATTCTAGAAACAGACGATCAACAATAAGGGATATGATTTCAGTTTGACTAAAGGTTTTATGGTTTTAGTAAAACTGAAGTAACCAATTTTTCATAAATGGTCAACACAAGGTTTTGTAACAGGAGCATTTTGTGAAGACATTGAAAAACCACAGAGTGCTGTCCTCATCTTGCTATAAATCATGACATTGTTTGAGTAGTAGTGAGACAGAAGCCTGGACTAACACAAGGGCGGTCCTTTCATTATCCCTTTTTTGTCTCAAAAACGTTGTGACATTATTTTATTTATTGCATGTATTTTTGTGGTTTTAACGTCAGAAGCCCCTGCTTTAAAGGTCCTATATTTCTCTCTACTTAATTTTTCACAGTTCATCCTAAGCACATTATAGTGTGAGATTATAGCTATTTCATGCTTATAGGTCACTTGTAATGAGCTGATCCTGATATTTACACATAAAAACACATTTTCTCCAACTTGACATGTTCCTAAACATTTTTATCATCACTATTATTATTATTATTTTGGACAGACAGCATAATTATTGTGTATTGTTTTCCCTGCTTTGAAGACATTATTTTTAGAACCATTTTAAAACAAAAAAAACGGGTTTCTGCGTCATCCTCGTCATCGATGTGGACCCGGGCGTTTCGCTGCCTCTCGAGAATGAAAAAGATCGCTCTCTAACTAAAGCTTTAAGGAATTCATGAAAAAATAACCCTGGGCATGTGTATGAAGGCCAAATAGCAGTGAAATGAGGTTCAAACCAGAGAGAAAAAAAAGGAATAACTGTTGAAGCAGATAGTGGAAGCCCTTTCTCTCTGCCTGTAATATAATCGGTGACTTATAATAAAAAATCTTTTGGTTAATCATCTATTCTTTGCTCACACCTAGTTTAGTTCACTTCATCTGCTACTCACAAAGTCAGAACAAAGTCAGCACTGACATAGTTACATACATGAATATACAAAACAAATCCATGACGGCCACGTGCTGATCATCTGTGAGCCATCTTCTTTGTGGGGAGGGAGCTGGTTGCCTAGTAACGACGTTTACGATGCTCGCCGTACTTGTAATGAAAAATTTACACAGTTCTGCTGAAGTATTCTGCCGGAGCGAGAGGTAGATGTATCGGAATGCTATGCTCCTGGAATCCTCAAGGGTCTACCTGCTCTTTTTCTCTGCTTTCAATAAGTTTGCTGACGTAAACAAACAGGTGCACATACACACATGCACGTTTAGAATAAAAGGAAAAAATCTGCATTGAGATTCTTACCGTGATGCTGAACCACAGTGAAGCAGACATCCCTCCCATGGCACTCTGGCACCCAGCCCTATATCTTTTTATGGTTATACATATTTTATTCTGATGTGACTGTATTCATTTATGTCCTAAAAGATGCCTTTGAAAAAGTGGTGAAAATTAGCATTGTATATACAGTATACATATATACAGTATATATAATGCTAAAGGCAATGCATGGTCACCATTATATGCCATCGGCCCCTCTGACCACCACCAACCATTCACACACACACCAGGCTCATTCTAGACCTCGCATGTGAAGTGTCTTGCCTCAAAAAGCAGTGACAGTTTGGCACTTGACAGCTGCAGCCGCCCCACTGTGGCACCTGGTGTGTCCAGAGGTCTGCCATCACAGAACAAACCAGGTCTTGCCCTGCTTAGCTTCAGAGGTCTGATGGGATCTGTCTTTCACATGCAGCTATGGCCTCTTGAATGAAGATGAATGAATGAATGTGCATTTCTCGGTAGTGCAGGGGTTAGATTCCACCTTGAGACAGGGCTGAGTGGAGTTTGCATGTTCTCCCCGTGTCTGTGTGTTTGTCAGTGCACTGAGACTTATGTATAAAACATGTGCCTTACACTGCTGCATCATCAGCGCTGCTGCTGCTTCTGCACTACTACCACTAATACTACTACTGGTACTACTACTACTGGTACTACTACTACTTCACAACTACTTCTACTTTTCTCCTATTGCTTCACCGCGGCTCATGTCTGTGCGTCCCTACACTCTGTGGTCAGTGTGTGGTCCTATAAATGAAGCGGCTCTCTGAAGCGTGACGCTCTCCAGCTCTCCACTCCAGGTCCCCCAGGGGCCAATCCTTCACCAGGGGCCGATCCTTCACTGGGGCCATGCTCGGCTGACATCGCCAGCACAGGCCACTGCAGGCTCTGATCCATATACCCTCCCTCCTCCTCGCACACTTTTCAATGTGAGTCAATTGGAGACAGAGCGAGTTGGAGCAAAACTTCATACAGTCCTTGCTTCTGACACCTGCTCATTTAACGTTCACATGGTTAGTACATTTATATAATGTTACAAACAATAAAATAGTTAGTTGTAAAAAGTGCAATAAAAACCAATGCACTATTTTTATTATTATTATTATTAATATCAAGGCTATGGTCGCAGTAACAGAGCAGCAGTCCTTCTGTGAACTCAGCACCTGCAGGAGGATCAGTGAAGTGGGTGCAGCTCTATCCCAGACCCAGAAATGGAATAAGGGGAAGAACATTTTATTTGATGACAATTTTCATAAGCCATTTTATTGCAGTCACTGTGTGTCAGCTTGGAAAGAAAATAAGGGATTGCAAATTCCCTGGAAATAAGACGGACAATAATGAAAATCTACTGTACTATAAGATTAATAATAGTTTCTCCTTCTTAGTGTATTGTATTGTATGTATTTAAGGACTGTGCATATTAACCGACAGTGCATCAGGCCTTATTTGCCCACGCCAGAGTTTGCCCAGAGGCTGAATATTGAATGAAGTCCTTGGGAAATATGTAGAGAAAGCTTCCAAGGTAAAGTGATTACAGAAATACACAACATGATGGAACATTTGAGAGGTTAAACCAAAATGGAGATATCCAATGCAAATCAACTTTTTTTGAGCTTGTAACATTGTTCCCTCATCAAAAACACACCCAGAGTTGTTTTAGATCCATCCACACTATGAACAGGAACTTCTGGTACAAACAGGTAACTCCGCCCCTTCTGTCATCTAACAGTGTGATGTCATTGTACCACTATACCATCACACTCCTGCCTTTTAAAACAAAAGTATTGTCCATAGATCAGTGTTGGCAATTTCTCAAGTGAAATTGTGTTCATCGC